GGCAGACAGGGATAGTATTATATGCAAATGTAATGCAGAAGCGAGAGGGCAACACTTGATGGTGCATACAAAGTCTGAACGGATTTTGAATGGCAAACAAGCGGCAAAGCGAACGAACGGCGACTGCGGCAGCGGCAAGCGCCAAGTATAAAGCCCAGCCCAGAGTAAAGCCAAACCGAGCTAGCCAAGCCGGGTCCATGGAAGGGGTCCGGGGAGGGGTCCGGGGAAGAGGTCCGGGAAATGGGTCCGGGAAACGGGTCCGGGCACGGGTCTGCAACTGTAACAAGCACACAGAAAGAACTATTCCAAAATTTAACAGTATTTTTTTAAGCCATGAAAAAACCCACCCAGAATTTTATAACTTAAATGCTACTGACATTTCGTCAGACCCAATTTTCCACAGAAAAACAATCCTAACATTTTGTTCACGATGTTTTAAAAGTAGTATTGGTGTTTCAATTCTTGACTCTAATTCAGATCAGTTGCCTAGAATTAAATTAGCTTAGCAAATATTTTTGAAAGATAGTAACTTATCATGATTTAATAAATAATTTACTTTACAACTTCTTCAAAAACATTAATTCCCAGAGATATCTTAAAAATATGGCTATTTAATCGAAAGAAAGATTGTTATAAGTCAACATTTTGGTAGAAAAATTTATTTAAGTGCATTTTAGGTTGTACATTATTGACTTATTACCTGAATTGTTAAACTCGGCGCTGTTTTTTCCCAACATTTCTAGCACATAGTTTTTAATAAATTTAATTTAGATATTTTATAGTAATAGTCAATCAAACATATTAAATTATATTTTCCTAGGGAAAGGAATACATTTCGGCCGGATTATTTGTTCAACTTTTTCTCACAATGTATTTTTGATGAACTAAACCATCTTCAATGAAGCGTTTTAATCTTGATATTTGATGGCTTTTTTTTGCCCAGTGTGTGGCTGGGACAGACCGTGAATGGGCGCTGACGACTTGCGCATGAATGGCCCAAGTGTGCTGCTTGCCGGGGGGTGTGGATAAAGGGGGTTGAGGGGGTCTTAGGGGTGTACAGGGGAGACGTAGGGGGTTGGACATGGGCTATATAGAGAGCGAGCGGATAGACAGACGAAGGCCTATAGAAAAGTGACGTGCGCTTTACAATTATTTCGTAATGCAAGCAAATGTGACCGAGCTGAGCAGAATGGAGAGCAAAAAGCGGCATTAGAAGCTCAGTACACTCAAAAAAGGGGCTTCTGATTAAATTGGGCTATCTTTGATTGATTGGTTTGTGAAGAACATCAAAAAAACATTATTCAGTGATTCTGTTTCTGATTACTAAGATATTTTCCTTAATATGCTATTGGTTAATACAAAAAAAATGCGGTATATCTAAATGTAGTGGCAGATGCTATCAGGGTTTTAAAAACGGTTTGGAATATTTGTATTGCTCATTAAAAAAAATTCATGTTAACTTTTTGCAAAACCAAGAAATATGTCGATAATTTATTTGGATAAACATTGCATGAAAATAGACATAAAAACAAACTATTCTTTGAATTTTACAATATTTAAAATCTCGTATAATCATGTAAAACTGATTTAGACTGAAGAAAATTAAGAATTTATGCGCGTAATTCCGAGACAAGCTGCTTAAATGTTTACACATTATTTGCATGATCCGCCAGGGATATGCAAATAGATTTATTTTTCGTAGTGCAGATTAGAGTTGCATCTTAGGCTCAGGCAGTGGGTGACAAATGTCAGTCGGTGGTTGCTCTACTAATCGGACATGTTGCGTTGACTTGTTTATGACTCGGGGCTTAGCAGCCACACACTAAACCACCCAGCCACCCAATCACCCGACTACCCAACTACACAGTCACCCACCAAGAATGAATTGTCTGAGGGGGCGAACTTGTGGGAAATCTGTAAATAGCTGCGAAAACTGCATAAGCCGGGTTGTGGAAGCCCAAAGCCTGGGGATATGGATAGACAAAGGCAAATGTCATCAAAGTTGGTACCCGCGGGAAAATGAATGGAAAGCCCGAGGAACATAAAAACAATTGACGAGGGACACCACTGCGTATGCGTAATCTTGTGCAATTTGTTCAGCTGAACTCTTTAAACTGTGTTCAGCGTTCAGCGTTGACTTTGACACTTTCCCAGCCATTTTCCCCGCCCCCCGCATCTTCCGATGGTTTTCCATTTCGGTTTTGCCTATCTTGTTTTTTTATTTTTCTATTTTGTTTGCAATTACGCGTCACACAGCTGGACACAGCCAATGCAAAACCAGAGCCTCAGTGCACAGATTTGCAGTGTGGGACAAGGTCGCATTTATTTGGTGCACTTGCAATTGGCCAGAGGTGTGGTTTAGGGGGGTTTTTCGGCCGTCAAGGGGATAAGGGGGAGGGTAACTCTGTCATGCTGCGAACGAAGGTCACCTGCAGTGCGCCCCATGCCCACAGACAATGTTGCTAGTGCTGAATTATTATGAAATGAATACAAATATTTGCGGATCAGTCAGCGGCGTCATCCTTCAATTGATGGGCGGGGCGGGGTCTTTTCAATAGGTGCAGTGGGTGGCGGTGGGGAGACTAGGTTGACAAAGTGCAAAACCAAAATGTGATGGATGATCTCAGCAATGAAATCGAACGGAAACCTCAAGTTAAAACGATAAAACGGATGTATTTGTTACTTTGTACACGATGTTTCTTAATAAAAAGTGATTTGTTAGGGTTCTGTGCATATGAAAAAGTACTAAGTATAATTGATGTACACTACTTTTGTTCGAAGACGATTAAATAAATGTTCTGATGTCAATATAAAATGTAGAACATGTTGCCTTAAAATTATACATCATTCTCTTTTTATAGGGTACTTTTATTTAGTTCTTTAAGAAATGAACGTTTAAACTTAAAATATGATCTTATACTGTTAAACAATTTTTCCGTTTTATAGAGCTAGATTTTTTTAAATCAGAAAAAAGAAATATCTTCAAGATATTACAACGTTTTTACTTTTTAAATGTTTACTTTGACTTTGTTTAAGTCAAAAAGAGGAATTTAAAAAATTGCTTAGAAAGACATTATTTTGACTGCCACATTTCTGTTGAAGGAATTTGTTTGCCATTTATCAGATATTTCTGGTATTGTCTCTACTTTTCCATGAAGATTGATTATTTGCAAAAGGCAAAGGCCTGAATTGAAGCAAAGCGGAGAAACAGGAAAATTTCAAACATTGATTAATGACAAATTGTTTGGCATCGTCTAACGTGCAAAAAGTTTTGGGTTTCCTGTCGAGCTGCAATTCGAGGCCTATTTTCATGGGGAAAACTGTGCAAACTCGGGCCCAAACGGTTTTGCAGTGCTGTTACTTTTTGCCTTACCTTGCCTGCAAACGCCCATCCACCCATTTTCCACCCATCTGCCACCCCCTTTCCAGCTGTTGTTGTTGACGCTTCTTCCGTTCTTTGGTTTAGTTTTTCTTTTAGCTTACTTTACGCTTTTGTTGCTGCCGCTGTTGCATTTGTTGCTGCACATTTTATTAACATTTTCATTTAGTTTTCCTCTCTCTCTCTGTCGCTCTCTCTGCGCGTTGTTTTATTTCGCTTTTCATTGCAATTTGTGTTCCTATGCATTTTTGTGTGTGTTTTACATTCGTTTTCGTGTCGCCAGCAACATTGCCTCCAACTGCATTTGCCACGCCCCCCGGCGGACCCACACCCACCGCCCACCGCCGACCGCCCAATGACCCACCACCCCCTCTTAGCCCGGTCCACTTCCCTTTATGCCGCTGTTGCGCTCTTTTGCAGTTTGTTGAAGTTTTCATAATCATTGTCGTTGTCGCTGCTACTGCTTTTCCTACTCCTACTGTTTTCCACCGTCTACTTTCGTTTCGGGCACAGCCTTTGCCTTTTGTTTTCCACACGCTTTCCCTGGAGAAGGGCCTATTTCCATTGGGGGTTCAGTTTGTCGGTAAAGTTCATAAGTTTTCATTAAGATGGTTTATCGCTTAATTTTGCATTATTTACTTCCCAAATTATCATTTAATATTGTATGATTTGCGAGTGAAAAATGTAAATATACGGATAACTTTAGTGACCCTTCTGAAATCAATTTATTCCAAATGTAGCTTATTTTTATTCGGAATTAGAATACAAGATAAAATAACTCACTCTAACAAAACAATAAAATAGAAGAAAATAATAAGCCTTTCCAAAACAAATAATTAATTCCTCAACTAGATTAAAATTGTTTATTGTGCTATTAAAACTTAGCATTTAAACCGTCAAGAAAATAAATAAATTAGATTGGTCATAATCATAAAATTATAAAACAAAAAGAATCCAAAGAAAAAAAAGAAAAAATGAATAATGAATTCATTAAGAAACAATTAAAAGTATTTTCTTAGAGAAAACCTTTACTGAAATTTGTTTATAGTTCCTTTAAACTAATATTTTATCATAATGAGAAGTGCATCTCAACAGTCTTCTAATTAGGGCCATGTTACTATCTTCTTTTTTGTTATATAAGCCGGTGCAGCGGCTGGCTGGAAAATGGGTGAAGGAGGGGGGTGGAACAAACGAGACAGGGTGGAAAACTGGGAGTGAGTGGGTGAGATTTCCAGCATGAAAACAATGCCGGGAAAGCGGCTTATTTTCTATGATTTAAATAATGATGAAGACAGCAGACAACAGGCAGCTACCGCAACTGGAACTGCAAGTGCCACAGCTGATGATGATTGAGATAATGGTAGTAATGATGAGGGGCAGGGATGATGGGCTAACTGGCAGACCTACGACAATGTAAGCCACCTACCTTCGTCGAGCTAAAGAAGATGGTTGAGGAAGTGTTCGGACGTTGGAGCTGATAAAAGATCGCTCAGCTCGCTGTTTGTTTGTTGCCTTTTGGCCAGGCCATAACATTTATCTCATTTTTTTGCTGGTGCCTCGTACATATAGCTAATGCCTCATTTATCTTACACTTCCCTTCTCTGGCTCTCTCTCGTTGCAGAAAAATGTTCATTGGCGGCCTCAGTTGGCAGACAAGTCCAGGTGAGTGAAAAACAACTTAACTGAAAATTAGTGGATATGTGTTAAAAATTTTGCCCAAGTCTGAAAAGGGGTCAATTAGCTGGAGATTTAAATAGCAATCCTGCGCTAACAAGTGACCAGGAAATGTGGAAAATTACTTTAAAATATATGTTTTACCATTTATTAAATTATCTTTTATTTTTAAATAAAACAAGAGTAAAAAAAGGAAGCGACTGTTAAATTGAGAACACAATTAAAATAGATTTCTTTTAATAATAATTAATATGCTTTTAAACTCTGTCTTAAACTATCTATTTTATTTGTGATTTAACTAAAATAAGCGCCAAAGAACAACTAAAACTGAAATATATTCACACAAAATTTATTTATTTATTTATTTATCTAAAGCTAACAGTTAGTGTTAAACTAAGAGCTAACGTTTCGTTAGAGCCATAGCAGCTTAGGCCTTCAGCTCGGGGCTTAAATATCTTTATGGAACTAATATAATTCACACAAAATATTCTCCCTTATTGATTTACATTAAGTCGTTAAAAAATAAACTTTGTTATTTTTCTTGCTTGCCTGTTTTTCAACAGAGAAGCCCCAAATGAATTCCCTTTTTCAGTACCTTTTCGATTTCTCAGCTGTGAAGCGTATTTCTCAATATCTGGAGATGTGTGTACATTTGTATGCAACTGAATTTTGTATCTCAATTTGAATGGCCTACGAATTGATTCGGTTTCAGTTTGTGTTTTATGTGATTTCACATCGACAACAATGAAACGAATGACGGGGCTTTGTTTAAATTGGAAATTGTAATTGATCAACTGCTTGAGATTTGCTCCCTTTTACGAATTTGAATTTGACGTCAATTGAGGAACGACTTGAGATCCGAAAACCGAGATACGAAAACTACGGGCCGGGGATGATTCTCTGTGAGATTGGCCCCATTCCGGCCGCATAGTTTCATTAGGCTAATCAAAAGGCAACTTGCCATCAAAGCCCTGCATGCATATTAACCGAATTTGGATGGCACTCCAAAAAAAAAGGTCTGAAAAGTAGAGATTGCAACCGTCTGGCAAGATGCGCTTGCCTTTTGGGAGCCCTTATATGTAGTATCTGCAGTGCTCACAAAAAAAAGAAAGATAGAAAACCCCATATAGCACATATATATCGTCGCTTTGTGTTGTTGCTTGGGCGCGCTTGTTTTTTGTTTAGCAAAATTGTTGGCTCCGCCCATCATCAGAGTGCCACTCGGCATTACGCTAACATATTATAACCTATAGCGCATATCCACACACAGGCACTGTGTGGTATTCACGTATATAGTTGAAGAGTCAATGCGGTCTTTGGTTTGTCTCTTTATTTTAGCCTTTCTCAATGTTTCCCCCGTTCTCGTGTGTTTTTTTTTTTGATTTTTTCGGGGGCGGAAGGGGGCCGGTTTCCTGTACCTGTGCCAAAAAATTTTCAAATTTTCAAATGGCTTTTTCAATACGAATGCCCCTTCCTCGTTTAGTTTTCGGTATGAGTGTGTTTTTGCTCGGCTCTTTTGTTATCTTTTGCCATTTCGGTGTCCGATGTGTGTGTCTTATTTCTTATTCCTTTTTTAATTTTTATTTTCGCTTCTTGGCAGCCGCCAGTTGGCCCCATGGAGCTGGTAAATTAGGCAAAAGCCAAAGGGCCCACAAAAACTCAGCACAGGGCCAAAAACGAATCGCTTCCAGTGCAACAAAAAAATGTCTTTGGTGGAATTCGAGACAGAGCAGAAGTCAATTGGAATGGAAATTGCAGCGAAGGGTCAATGAGTGGCACGTGAGTCGATCAAAACGCAATGGGACGGGAAAATTTTAATAGTGTTCATCGTATCGTATTATGGTTCGAGTAAACTAGGTCTCTGTTTAATAATAAATCACTTAAAGAAATTATCTTTATTAAATTTTTGATTATAAAATCTGTTTTTGATTTATTTATATCAAAGGATTCTTCTTACTATATAGACATGGCTAGCTTGAACAGTTTCATACCCGTATGGACCACAAAAATGTAATACAATATAAAAATTAACTTACCATGATATAAATAAACTTACTGTCATTTAGTTTTATTGGAATAAATATTGATTTCACTAAGTTTCCTCTTAAAACTACTACAACAGAACATACAAGTATAAACATTAAGAATTGCAACAAATTAATGTAAACAAAAACCTTTTGTTTATTTGTGTTATGAATCTCTTTTAGAGAAGTGAGAACTATTAAATTCCCGATTCAAGTCAGAAATAATTTTGTTTTGATTTTAAATTAATTTATATTTGAACACATTATTTAAAACTTTGCAAGCCGCTATCGTTAGCTCTATTACAAAATTGAAACGGTAAGGAAAGCCGATTCAAGTGAAAAGTATTCTAGCTTTGTTGAGTAAGTAACTTAGATTAGAAAAAAATACATTTATTAAACCTCAATTTCTTAAATATTAAATGAACCGGTAACGAATCGGTTACTAACCGGTTATGTCCGAAATCAAGCGCCTTTGTTTCATGAGCAGAGGAAAGAAAACAATTCAATTAGCTGCTATCTGAGCGAAAGGAAACAAGTTTTGCCCAAGTCCGAGCTCGGAGATGCTCTGCCCGTCTATTTCCTTCTTGGCCCTCTCATCTCACTCCCCCAACTCTTGGGCAGAGCCAGTTGTGTTATTATTGTTGTTGTGCCCGTAGAGCGGCCAAGTTGCAGCTCTGGCGCTGAAGGCAGAGGCCGGAACACCAGAACACCAGAACATCACAACGAGCGGCTGCGCCCGGCTCAAGTGGCTCCCACTTCCACTCGCGCCAAAAGCTTATGCTTTGGATTTTTCGCAGCTATCGCCACTCGAGCACACAGTCCCACATACAGCAGCGGTCAAAGTATTAGCTCAAGAAGTTGCAGCATTTGTTGCTATTTAATTAGCAATTTAGATATGTAGCCTTACAATTGGTGAAAAATAATTATTACAACAAAGGGTTTGTTTGTTATAAGCTAACAAAATCTCTCCCAAAACAAAGTTATGTTTAAAAATATTTTGTAAAAAGTTTTTTGTTTTGAAAGGGTTGAAAATCAAGACAATATTTAATCAAATTTCCAAGTGCAATCGTGAAAACTGGAAGCAAAAAACATTTAATATTCTACATTAAACAATAGAAAAATAGAAATTAAATAGGCATTAGAAAATTAAAGATTAGGCATTAGCAATGCCACGCATAAGTGGTTTTAAAATAGATTAAAGAAAATTGTTGGATAAATATTGGGAATATCATTGTAATCTGTATGAATCGAGTGAATGATTACAATTCTTTTCCAGCATGTCGTGTACTACTTATGCTATTGTCTTGACCTCCGCTGTTCCTACACATGCCCAGCGCCTCCTCCCACACAGTACACACTCGAAATGTGCTGACAAAGACCTAATCTAGGGCGTCTATAAACATGCGCTCGGGTCTAGCGTATAGCGTACGGCGTATAACGTATAACGAATAGCGAATAACGACTAACGTACAACGTAGAGCGCACTGGGTCTAACGGCATAGTTAGGGCTGTATTAGACAGGTCGGACTCGCAGGCGGGATCTGAATCTGAAGCTGAAGCTGAGTCTGCGTACGTGTTGATAACTGCTGAGATGATGACGATGGGGACGATGATGAGGGGCAGTGGAATGGAAGCATCCGCATTGCAGTGGGGGCCACTCAGGAGCGTTTGACTCTAGCTGGGCCAAGATTTTTAATGATTGGCACGATTGTCTTCGCTACTTAATGACGTTCTCGAGTGCTGCCAACCGCCCCCGATAGGTGCCGCCTTTGTGCCGCTTTCGTGTCAACTAGCAAGTCATATACTATACTATACACTCACTCGTTCATAACTTAATGAACTTTGCCGTCTGCAGTCGGCCATCCAAACAGGCAGCCTCCCCATTCTCCTCGGGAAATCATCCCAGCCGTCGTAATTTAATTTTAATTTCGCAAGCAGTTTGCTGGAAGTAATTGTATGCATTGAAAATGTATTTGCTGCTATCGCCTGGAAACACTCGCCGCCCATTTCGACTTCGACTTTGGGGCTTTCGGCTTGGGATCAGAGTCAGAGTGAGAGTCAGAGTTCCCCATTCATCTATATGCACATATATGGATGTCTGGATGAAAGGCCGTCGCTGGCTTTTTGTTTGTCTCTCATCCTCGTGATTTGTGTCAACTTTAACAACATTTTTGAAACACAATACGCGACCCGCCGCGCGTTTTGCTATTTTGGATGTGCGTTCAACTGAAATACTATTTATATATGCACCAAAGATACAGATACATTTGCATCTGCAGAACTACGGTACGGTACGGCACATTACTCATGCAACAAATAACCAAATAAAGACAAGAGCTAGGGAGGGGAGTGGGGGGCGGCAACAAAAACATCGAGAAAAGTGAATTGATCGAAAAAAGTGTGGAGGGAAGACAAAAAGCAAGTAAAATCTATGCATGCATATCGCTCACATTTCGATGCCGCTTAGCGATAAAAGCGCCACCAGAGTCTCCCCAAGATACTTTGAGCAAATAAATATGCATTTCTCGATTTACCCCTCGCCTTTTACTATTATTATTATTATTGTTTGTTTGTTTGTTTGTTTGCCAGCTTGTGTCATGCAAATGAAAATGAAGCCAGCTCGAAGGAGAGCCTCTGTTTGCGCCGGGCATTATGGTTGTGTGCATATCCGGGCTTATTTCTCTCGCAGCGCTTCTCCTTTTGACGCCGCCAAATTGTCCAGGTAAAGTCAATAGATGGCTGAAAAGAGTTCAAAAGGTTGCAGCAAACAGCGCCAGGGGATTGTCTATCAAGTGTCGAGGGTCATGGAAACGGAGGCAAGCAAGCCTTTTTTCGTGGATTGCTTTGAAACGTTGGTTCTAAACTCTTATTTAAATGTCTCTTTTACTGGGGTTATAATTAAAAGGGGGAGAAAAAAAAAATATATCCCCCCCCATCTTTTTTAAAAAAAAAAAAAAAAAAATA